CCCCGAACCGCCCCCTGGGCTGGCCGCGGGGATACAACCGGCCCCCGACGCCCCGCGGCCGGTCCCGGACACCCACCGGAGCAGCTGCGAGCGCGGGCATGCGGCGGGACGGACATCCCCGGCACCATGTCAACAGACCACGCCCCCCGCTGCCGCCGCGCGCCCATCAAGCAGGGCAGCGACTGGACCGCCTGAGGCCACGCCCCCGTCCACGTCACGTGGAGCGGGAGGCCGCGCCCCCACGCTCCCTCCTGGCTCCGTGACGCCCCCTGGCGGCCGGTGGCGGGCGCAGCGCCGCTCCCGCCGGGGTCACCCCCGGGTCACCAAACGGGGCCAAAAGGTCCCCTGATTTTCTTCTAAACCCCAAGCGAATCTGCTGGATCTGAAGGGAAAGAGGGCAAGTACATGGAGCCAAGCCTAGAGAAGAGAGAGCTTTAGGGAGACCTTAGAGACCATGCCAGTTCCTGCAAGGAACTCCAAGAGTGCTTGGAGATGGACTTTGGACAAGGACATGGAGTGACAGGACAAGATGGGATGGTTTCCCACTGCCAGAGGGCAGGATTAGATGGGATATTGGGAAGAAATTCTTCCCTGTGAAGGGGGAGGCCCTGGCATGGGCTGCCCAGAGAAGCTGTGGCTATCCCATTCCTGGAAGTGTTCTAGGACAGGTTGGATGGGGCTTGGAGCAACCTCAGCTAGCGGAAGGTGGAATGAGATGAGCTCTAAAGCACCTTGAAACCCAAAGATGACATCATAAGATTGAGGAACTGAAGAGCTAAGTAGGTCCATCCTGAAAAACTGACTCACTGGCTGAAGACACTGTGCCAGGGGATGGTAAGAAAGGAGAAGACCGGGACAAGGAGAAGAGGGACACGGCAGAGTTCAGCGAGGACCTTCCACTGAGCCTTCTGAGATCCTCAGAAAGCAATGGACAGATCCTGGACTTACAGAAGCCACTTCCAACTTAGGTACCACAATTGGCATTTGCAGAGTGCTGATGCCCAAACATTGCCAGGGTGGGAGTACTTGTGGGCTTGGTTAAACCTCCCACATGGAAGAGGTGCATTCCTTACACGGGATGGCTGTGTCTCAGTTCGAGCTTAGGGAATCTCCCCAAGTGGTACTTCACAAATAGTGGCAGACACAGTGCTAGAAGCCCACAGTCTGTTCCCAAGTCCAATGAAACCCCAAGATTCCCAGAGCCCACTGCCCCAATCTGCTCCTCAAAAAGCTCAGATTATTTCTCTCCTTCCCAACCACCTCTGAGAAATTCCAGGATACTCTGAAGACAGCATTGGTGGTACTTCTCCCAACCCTTGTCCCAATACTCCCGCAAGGGCATGTTCAACTTACACAACTTCTTACATTTTCATCCCTGCTGGCCCATCCAAGCTGTCTACAGAGGCTCCAAACTAACACAAGGAAAATCCTAGATTCAACATTCCCATCAATTACATACTGGGAGATGAAGACAGGCAATTCTTAGAGCTTATTCACCTTATCAGACCTAGCCACAGAGAAGTTGTGAGTTCCTTTTCCTAATTCAATTACCAGCTGGATCTCTCCCCTCCTGATCAACCTGGACTTCTCCCATCACTGGTGGGATCTACCAATCCCATCCTTGTGCTCTTTTCGTGCTCTTTGCCTTTTTCCTTGTTTGCTGAGCACCCCTCACTTTCAGAGGATTGGTGTTACTACAAAATCACTTCTGCCTCCTGAACACTCCATGGTTTTACCCAGAGCAGTCTTGACTCTGGAAATGTTTCCAGCATTCCCATATGCTGTTGTCCTTCTTTCCAGGATCCAAATGAATCTATTTTGAGGACAGCCGGTGAGCAGACACACACTGGACAGCAGGAGAGCTGCCGCTAAGTTTCTTGCAGGCATGAGGAACACACGCTTTGAAGCTGGTAATAGCTGGAAGTGGGTTTATATAAAACCAGAAACATTCCAGCTCTAAACCCACACAGCCAAGAGGAAGCTTCCCCTCCCAGGGTCAATCACTGCCATCCCTTCTGCTGTCAGAGAATAAGCCTGGAAAAGCCCTCCAAGATCACTGAGTCCAACCATTCCCCCAGCACTGCCATGTTTACCCTAAACCCTGTCCCCACGTGCCACATCCACAATTTTTTTGAACACTTCAAGGGATGGTGACTCCACCACTGCCCTGAGCATCCTGTATGAATACTTGAAAACATTTCCATGCACAATTTTCCCAATATCCAACCTTGAACCTGCCCTGACACAGCCTGAGGCTGTTCCCTCATCCTCTCCCTTGTTCCCCGAGAGCAGAGCCCAAAACCCCCCTGCCCTGACTGCCCCCTCCTGTCAGGGAGCTGTGCAGATCCAGAAGATCCCCCTGAGCCTCCTTTTCTCCAGGCTGATCCCCACCCAGCTCCCTCAGCCGCTCCTGGTGCTCCAGACCCTTCCCAGCTCCATTCCCTTCCCAGGACACCCCTTCTCCAACCTTGGTCTCAAGCTTGGATCCATCTTCTGTGGTCTGTGCCTAATGTGGCCTTGCTTTTGTTTACAGAGCAGTGACACTTGAGTCTCATTTGGTGAGAGCTGCCCAAAGACTGCCTTGAAAAATTTCCTGGTGCAAATGGAATATGAAGCAAAGCAACCTTCAGATACCTGGGATGGAAGGAAAACCTTTGAAACAGCTGCTTTAGGGACGCTGCTGCAGCACCTGAAATGTAGGAACATGGGATCTTTCCCAGGATCACTCCTGGCACAAGAGCTGCTCCCCTGAAGTCTCTGTCACCTCATTCTCCTTTTTGCTACCCTGGTTTCACCATCCTCTCTCAACACCAGATGATTCCCCACTCCAGTCATAAGACTTATCTTTCTTTCCTGCGAAGCCCCATTCCTTCCTCCAGCCACTCTAAAAGAAACTTCAAAGAGGGAGATTGAAGAAATTCTTTATATACAGAGATCTTAATCATTTCTCATCCCCCCAGTTCTCCCAGCCTGTGGGACAGAAACATGGAAGCTCCCTTCCTCCTTTAGACACGAGGACAAATATCCTTTGGAATGGTTTCACTCCCATGTATTTCTCTTTTACAAAGCCACAATAGCCATGACCAAGCTGTATAAAAGTGACAGTGTTGGACGGCCCTCCTTAGTATTCCGTGGGGATTGGTTTATTTACCTGGACAGGCAATCAGTCCAGTCCCATTCCCTCTGCAGCACAAATCCCTTGTTTCCTCTGAGCTGCTCCTCAACCTTTTTTCTCTATAAAGGCCGTGTGCTGGCCCTGGAGGTAACTCACAATCTTCTCCTCTATTTCCATGCCTTGTGCTATTTCCTCATCGGACAGGGATAAGGGAGTCTGTGAGTCCCTGGTGACAATGATGACAGAGGTTCTCCGGGATTCCAGGACATTGGCCACCACCACCTGGTGCCGGTATTTCTCCAGAGCCTGCCGAGATTTATCCAGGAGGATCTGGGGATCTGTCTCCAGTTTGAAGGAAATCACAAAGGCCTCAGGAGCCCAGTCTCTGACCAGGGGTGACAGCATTTTTGGCACCATCTTCATTGTGATCTGCAGTGAAGAAAGATAAAAAGAAAAAATCAGTAAAAACATTACAGGGAGCTTTTATTAAGAGATGGGATGGGAAAGAGGGAAATTCCAGCTTTATTTCATATTCCTTGTACACCAGGAAGTGTTTCAAGGCAGTGTTTGGGCAGCCCTCACAATGTAAGGTTCAAATTACACTAAATTTATATTAAATTATCCATGTGGTGCTCGCAGTCAGGGGGTTCTGAGGCCACGCCACAGGAACTCTGCATTCACAAAGCTAATCACACTGGGGGAATATAAACATGAGGGGAGAAGATTTAAAAAAAGCATTACAACTGCATAAATCTGAGTTTTCAGCTCTCCAGAATTCAGACAGTTTATCATACCTTCACCTTTCCCTCTATCAACTCCTTGAAACTCATGAGGCATGAAAGTACTAAAGCACGGGGAAAAACAGTAGGAGACTTTGTCCTCCAGTTTCCCAACCTCTGGATCCATCACTGGGAATCAGGCCAGGTCTCATCTTTCCAATGCTAACAATAAATAATGAAGCCCAGAAACTTCTTGGAAAGTAATTAATTAAATACATTTGGTATTTGTTATGTAAAGAATTCCAGAGCCACCTGCTCCCACTTCTGAGAGATCTCGGTGCTGCAGTTTTGGCCTGTCATTTGTACAACATGGATCCCAGAGTCATGGAATGGTTTGGGTTAGGGTTGGGTTATGGTTAGGATTAGGGTGGGACCTTAAATGCCATCTCATTCCACCCCCTGCCACGGGCAGGGACACCTTCTGCCAGGTTGCTCCAGGCCCGAACCAACCTGGCATTCAACACTCCCAAGGATGGGGCAGCTACAGCTTCTCTGGGCAACCTGAGCCAGGGCCACACCACCCTCACAGGGAAGAATTTCTTCCCAATATCCAATCTAAATCTCTTCTGTCAGATTGAAACCATTCCCCCTTGTCCTAGCACTCCTGGCCCTTCTCCAAAGCCTCTCTCCAGACAAAAGGCAGCAGCTCAAGTACTCCAGGAGCTATTCTTGGAGCATTTCAGCTCTCTGAGACTCACCCTCTCCTCGTCTCCATGGAAGGACAGGCAGCTTGAAAGGACAAAGTCAGGAGAGCAGGAGGCACCAGAGGCCCCTCTTCATGAGCCACACCACAACTGCAGACATGTTGAAGCTGCTTCATATCAGACAGAGCAGCACTGACCTCCCAGCAGATAACCCATGGTACCACTCACCCCTTCATCCCACCCTAAAAATAAACCTGGATCAAAGGAGAACAGGGCTGATCCTGCCCTGTCCTCTTATCTGGGCCTCTCAGTGCAAGATAAGAATAAAACAATGCAATTTCAGGATTTCCAGGGTACTGTCCCTGTGGGATCTCACCCTCCTGTTCCCTCTAACAACATACATGACCTGTAGCTTTGCAGCTTTCCCAGGCTTATCCACAGCCAGTTCTCAGGAGAAGGAACCCTGGAAGCAAGGAGGGGATAGTTGAGAGGGGGTGGCAGAGGGAGCCATGCCCAGGGGGACCTCACCTGCAGGGGCCCCTCTGAGGACTGGATCTTGTGCTCCGGCATCTCAGAGACCGGGATGTAGAAATCCGACACAGCAGCTGCCAGGTAGAACATGACACTGGAGCCTGTGGGAACATGACTGCTGTCCCCCACTGCCATGGCCTGTCCCTGTCATCCCAGAGCCAGCCGAGCTGCCACCCACACACATCAAACAGGGGAGACCAGGGCCTCCCTCAGGGATCCCCCAGCACAATGCTGAGCAGGGCAGCACTGATCCCATCCTGGGGTCCCCTCAGACACACTGTTCTCCACTTGGGTCTGTATCGTCCCCTCCTCCCAAGCCTCAACAGCCTCCAGGGACAGCTGAGACCCTCATGCCAGGGTGCAGGAGCCCTACAAGCAAGCTGGCCCCCTTGTCCCCTAATGCCAGAGCCCCACAGGCCCCGGGATCACCTCATACCTGGGCCCTGGGGGGCTTCTATCTTCTACCCCATGCCCCTCGACCTTTCCCCCACAACCATCACATCATCTCGTTCTTGGTCCACCCGTTCCCTCACACTGGAGACCCCCATCCTTCATCTTCACACAGGACCACCCTGTTCCCTCATTCCTGGGCTCCCTCACACTGGAGACCCCCCTGGGGGCTTCATCCTCTCTTGCCTTGTGCCCTACGAACCGGTTGCCACCCTGTCCCTGATTCCTGGGTCCCCCCGGTTCTCCCCGTGCCCTCACGCCTGGGCTCCCCCCGTACCGAGGGGCGCCAGGGCTCGAGCGGCCGCGCGCAGCAGCGCCAGGTACTCAACGAGCCCGGTGAACTCGATGGGGAGCAGCGCGCCAGCCTCGGTGGCACGTCGGTACTCGCG